CAATGATCCTCCTGCCTCAGCCTCTCGAGTGCTGGAATTACAGGCATGTGCCACCACACAGAGCATACCAGTGATTCTTGATTTAAAACAAAAAAGAAAAAACCAAGTATGTCCAAATGAGCCTAAAAGAGTTCTTTCAGCGAGGACAAATTTAAAATTTAGGTTTAAAGAAAGCATTGATGTTAGTTTAATTGCCAACATATTTTCTTTCTTAGTTGTACATAAAATTGTGTCCTACACTGGATGATGTCTTTCATTTGATAAAACACAGTAAAAGAATTGACTATGTCCCATCATTTGCTTACCTTTTCCCCAGTAATACTTAATTTTTTAACCTTCTTTCCCTTTTTGGGACTCCACTTTTATCACCACTTGTTCTTTGTAGCAGTGATTATTATACAACCTTCACCTGCATTGTCATTTATAATTCATAAAATATATATTTAAGTAATAGGTCCCCAGGGTTCATAAGTCAGAAGGTACAAAAGAGTATGCAGGGAAGTCTCCCACACTGTTGTCCCCAGCTCCAGGTGTCCAGTTCCCATATGTATATATATCCTCCTCTTTTTGTAATGCTCCTGGTCATAGACTCTACACTGTTGTCTTTGATCTTTACTGGGTGCCCTTTTGTGCATTACACACATTTAATTGCCACATAGTAGTGCTAGCAAATTGGCAGGCAGTTCTTTTTTTGTTTTGTTTTGTTTTTTGTCTTTTTGAGACAGGGTCTTGATATGCAGCTCAGGCCTTGAGCTCACTTTGTAGCCCAGGCTGGTCTAGAATTCATGACGATCCTCCTGCCTCAGCCTCCGGAGTGCTGAGATTGCAGGCGTGCGCCACCATGCCTAGCCTGGCAGGCAGTTGTAATTACAGCTTTACAGCTAGTTACACTGAGACCTGAAGGGGTGAAAGTGGTTTTCCCAGTGCTGGAGCTGAGACTCTGACCTGAGGCTTCAGGACGATTAGGCACAACAGTATGGTGTGTGAGTTGACTCGTTTCTTCCAAGATACACCATTCTTCCTTACAATGCCAGGTAGCATTCTGTTATGGTTTATATCTAGATGTCCTACCAAAGCCTCATGCACTCGTAGGTGATGCTTTGGGGAGCTGATTGGATCATGGGGTGCTATACCCATTGGTGGATTAGCCTTGCTGATGAGCTTATAGCTACATGAGCTGTCAGGAGGTGGGGCCTGGCCAGAAGAGGTGTAGGGGCTGTCCACAGAGGGTTTACTACCTCTCCGCCCCTCTCTATGTTCTCTGCTTCCTTGCTGTCATAAAGTGAGCAGCTTTCCTTTGCCAGACTCTTCCACTATGCCACTTCTGCTTAGAGCCAGCCAACCGTGCAAAACTGAAACCTGTAAAATATTAGCCTGTCTTGGTTACTTTTCTCTTGTTGCTGGGACAAAATACCTGACTCCCAAAATGAAGGAAGGAAAGGTTTATTTCGCTTACAGTTTGTGGAGCTTTTAGTCCATACTTGGCAGATTACAAGGCAGACTGGCACATGGCAGAGAGCTACGGCACATGGCAGAGAGCTACAGCTCATGGCGTCCGAACACAGCAAAAGCAACAAGCACACACCAGCAAGGAAGCGGGGAGGAATGGCCTCAAGCACTCTTTTCCTCTCTCTTACATATGCAAACTATCCACCCCAGGGCGGGTGCAGCTCTCACACCCATAATCAAACTCTAAAAGCCTGCCCCATGGCCACATGAGGCTTTGGGGGGGACACGCAGACATAAACCATAACAGAGCCAAAGTAAGCCTCTCATTCTTTAAGTTGTGTTATCAAGTATTGTGTCCCGGCAACAGGAAACCAATTAAGACATATTCTAAACTCCTGGGTGCTGGTTGGAGCCTTTTAGGAATCAATAGGGACCCACTTCTGGCCTTCCAGGAATCAGTAAGTCCTAGGAACTATTTATCAGACCCCTAAAAGAAGGACATGGATTCTTGGTATATTGCGTGCAAAAGCATGCAAGTGTGGCAAAACCCTTGTGAGCTGGAGAGGAGCTGGCCTGCACTGCTGGCCTTCCCTGCCCCTCAGGGTTTATTTGGTCTCTGCAGCATTTGCCTTGACAGTCCAACTAAGATCCCTCGCTCATGCAGTATCGCAGGGATGTAAACACTCCCCTGCAGAGTGATGGCGGAGGCGCTGAGAGGCACAGCACAGGGTGTAATCGGGAAGGTCTGAAGCTCCTACACTTCGAAGTGTGTGCTCTGGTCCCCTTGCACAACCTCTGTCATTCCCCAGGTTCTCTTCTGTGACAACTAGTGATGCTGCTTACTGAGCGCTTACCAAGCACAGTCCACTTTACACATGAGGAAATGCTCAGATCTGTTAGGCACTAGCTGAGAGCTGACCATTGTGCACTGGTGGGTGATGTTTAGAAGTCAACTCTGAGGCAGCTGAGTGTAGTGGTGCGTCCCATCCCAGCTGCTCAGGAAGCTGAAGGAGGAGGATCACAAATTTGAGACTAGCCTGGTCAACATACCAAGACTCTGTCAAAATGAAAAAAAATTTAAAAGGCCTGGGAATGTAGCTCAGCACTAGAAGACTTGCCTAGTATGCCCAAGGCCCTGGGTTCAGTTCCCAATACAAGAGAAGAGATGAGAGTAACTCTTGGATAAAATGGCCTGATTTATAGTGTTTGCCAGCCTCTGTGGTAGTAATACTCTTGTCATGCTAATTAGAGGGAAGTGAGCTGGGCATGGTGGCATGCATGGTGTAATTCCAGCACTCTGGGGGCTGAGGCAGGCTTGCTGCGAGTTCAAGGCCAGCCTGGGTTACATGGTGAGTTCAAGGCCAGCCTGGACTACATACCAAGATCCTATCTCAAAACAGTAAATTTAGAGGGAATTAGGATATGTGGCCAGAGACTGGGGGTTGTGCGAGTGATGAACATGCTGCACACATGCCCATGTGTGGTAGGTACCAGAGGGCCTTTGTGGATAGGAGTGTTAGGCTTGGGTCAGGTAAGGAGGGGTGTCGTCAGCCAGCTCTGAGTGTTGTGCAGCTACTGGGTCCTGGCTTTGCCATGTTCGGAGCGTCCTGTGACACAGAATGCACCATTATTTGTGCCTCCTTCCTTGGCTTTAAAACCTCTCTGGAAACCCCAGGAAGTTTACCGGGGTCTGGAACCAGGGAAGAATATGCAGTATTAGGAAACATTCTCAAACATGCAAAGTGATGTTTGAGAGTCACTGTCCCAAATCTTGGGCCTTGGGCCTTGAGCCTCATGCCAGGCCAGGGTCCCTTTTAGGGATTTGGGGCAGAATTGGTGCCCCGTAAAGGGAATTCAGTTGTGGTGTAATTCCTGATCCCCACCAGTGCGCTGATGGCAGTGTGAGCCTTGGGTTGTGTGCCTGAAGTCTCCACACTCAGCACCTAGGACGTGCCAGACATCCCGTGGCGGGTGAAGGGGCAGCAGGGAAGAGAGAGAAGTACCAGATTCCAGCCTCTAACTGAGCACTGTCACTGGGCCAAGTGCTTCCAGGCATTCATTCCTTAGCTCAGAGCCAGGGCTGGCCGCTGCCCTCCTCCTGGAGGCCTTTTCTCCTAAGTTCATGGGAGAATGGTCTTTGCCCTGAGCCGGTTGGCAACCAGGCTTGGGGGTGAGGCACGTCTCCCTGTGACCCTGCTCTGTAACAGGGGATAGGTGACCTCGCCTCTACATTTCAGTGTCCTACTTAATAGAATGGAAAGCATAATACCTGCTTCACTGGCATCTTCACAGCCATGAGTAGACTCGCACTGGCCTTGTTTCTGCTGTCTCCTGAGGCCTTCCACAAGAACCTCACTGTGGCAAGGGGCTGAGGTGCAGACTGGCACCCCAGCCGCACCCCTGCCTGACCTGCCATCTTGTGTTCTAGGAATTGACCGACTTGCAGCGGGATCCTCCCGCCCAGTGCTCCGCAGGACCTGTGGGTGATGACTGTAAGTATTCTGAGGGCTTCTGATTTAGGAGCCTTGCAATGAAAGTTCTCAGATTTATCTACCAAGCAGTTTCTAAGAAAACCAGTTTTCCGTTCACTTGCTCATACACAGCTTTTCCACTGGAGGTGTGAGTTTCCCTCAGCTGCTGAGGTTACACTCAGAGTGGAACCTGTGCCACCAGAAATTACCACTCCCACACCCATTCCTGAGAAAGCCGGCTGGACCCAGCTTGTGTGAGCGTCAGGAAAGTGCCCCCACCCCAGCCAGGCTTGGGGCGCTGCTGTAGATGCCATCGTGCAGCTGGTTATGGAGTACTGCACCTGGGAGCTGAGCGAAGAGCAGCAGCTGATGTCTCTGCCTGGGGAAGAGCTGCCTGTGGCTGCTTCCTCACATCCCCCTGGGGAAGCACAGATTGGGAAGAAAGAACAAGTACTGCCCTTCCTGGGGAGGATCCCGCTGCAAGTCAGTTAGAGGGAGAAGTGGCCGGGGCAGCCCTCTGCCTGCTTCATAGCCTGCAGGCCGGAGGCTGAGCCTTACCCTGCTTAGCTGACTCCCCTCACTCGTGGGCTGCCCGGGCTCCGGGACAGCTGCTGTATTGTGAGGCTGCAGCTGCTGGAAAACCATGCGGGGAGGGGGTGCCCTACACACACCAAAGAGTTGAAAACAAACTGGAACAGAACTCGGACAACCCAAGAGCTGCGGCAGACAAATGGATAAAAGTGTGGTCCTGACACACACTGTAGCCCAGATGAACCTTGAAACCATGCTAAAGTGAGTGAAATAAGCTAGGAAATTACAAACACTATACAATTCTGCTCAAAAAATATGTAGATGAGGAGAATTCATAGAGCCAGAAAGTAGATGAGGGGTCACCAGAGGCTTGGGAAGTTACTGTTTCATAGGCTGGGGGGGGCGTGGCAAAGCTTTGGAAATGGCCTGGGTTCCATCCCCAGCCTGCGCAGACACGCGTGCACGCACCCACGCACGCACGCACACACACACACACACACGATGAAAGACAGCACACAAACAGTGGTGCTGTATGCAGCATTGTACATGCCCGTAATGTGACTGTATGACACACTTGGAGGTGTAAATGCGTATCACGTGCTAGTGAAGGAAAGGGGTGATAGCCCACGTGTATGGCGTGTCCTGGGAGGAGCCAAGGTGGGCAGATGGAGCTACTGAAAATGGAGGCTCTCTCGGCTTTTTGTGGAAGTTGGAATCATTTTTGGAACAGCACAGAAATGACTGAGCTGTGTGTACAGAGTATGTTCAGGTGACTAACGCCATGCCCTCCAGGCACCTGTTCCTTGAGTGCCGCCCCATTAGTGCCACAGGCCGTGGAGTCATTCACCCTGTTCTCTCCTGCCCGCCCTCCAGCCCTGCTCAGCACCCAGCAGCTCAGCATTAATCTGAAGGAGGCCAGAGAATCCCAACCTGCTCCCCAAGAAGGGTCCGCTTCCGTTACCTACTCACTTTGCCATGGGCTCCTATTCCAAAATATTACCAAAAACACTCCTGGTTTTTGTTTTTTGTTTTTTGTTTTTTGAGATAGGGTTTTGCTATGTAGTTCAGACTAGCCTTGAGCTGTGTAGTCTAAGCTGGCCTCAAACCTGTAACCCTCCTGCCTCATCCTCTTAAGTGCTGGGATTATGGGCATTCACCAACACGCCTGGCTCAGCACTTCCAAAGGAACCCCAATAAAGGCACCGAGTGTGGAAGCTCAGATGAACATCCCTGCTGGGTAGCACCTGTGTGTTGTCCCACTTGGATGCTGAGAGAGGAAGCAGGTCCTGACCTCACAGAGAGGAACACAAGCTCTGCATCCAGCCCCCTCCTGATGGCGGCATTTTCTGTTTCCTGGTTGTGGGGTACCACCAAGCCACCTTGCCCTGAGGAATGAAGCCCCTTGCCCCCATTCTGTTTAGCCCTCATCTTTTCTCTGCTCACCTGTATGTGCAGAGCTGTCTGTGTAGAGGTAAATGTTCCCTTAATTGGCTAAAAAGAATATAACCAAGTTTGGCCAAGCCACCAACAGGTCTCATTGCAGTAAAATGACAGCGTCTGGGCCAGAATTACCCATCCGCCCTGGTTGGAATGGAGGCTTGAGCGAGACCCTGTGAAGTTCCAGGACTAAGACATAAGATAAATCTTTGCTGAGGCCATGAGACTCAAAATAAAATATACCTTCCCAGCAGTAAAGGTGCTAGCTTTTCAAACATCAAGTTATTTGTTAAGCCATTATCTAACTGGGGAGCCTCAGTGCCTGGCACAGGAGTGCTTTGTCCCTTCTTTACAAGCCATGCCTGTAGAAGCCATTATTCCTGAGCCCTCAGTCACAACCTTTACCCTACTTCCTTGCCAGTGATGCAAACAGTAAAAGCCATAGCCACTCTGAGTCTTGGTCCTTTGTTCCACGAAGAGGCCCTTAAAACTACAGATCTGTCTTTGTCTTTCTTCAGCCGCATGCCACATTGCTGGGTGGGAGACAGAACCCTCCGAGGGTGCTCGGTTCCCCGTCATGAACTGTAACGGTGAGCACAGCAGCCTCCAGGGAACTCTAGAGTCCTGGAGAATGTGGTGTTGGAACCTCCGACATACAGCTGGTGTCAGAAGTGAGGCGGTCTGTGGACACTGTGCTCTAAACTGTGTGGCACGTAGGCACGTTCCATGGGGTCTCTCACGTACCCGTGTCTCTTTTGTCTTGCAGTGTTCCACTGGCAGGCCACCATCATGGGCCCGGTAGGTAGTGCTCCTGAGCGCTCGCACAGCTCATCTGACTTCCTGTACCTCACGCTTAGCGTGAGCCTTAATCTCTTCCCATGTCTCACCTTACAGAACGACAGCCCTTACCAAGGAGGCGTTTTCTTCCTGACCATCCACTTTCCTACGGATTACCCCTTCAAGCCCCCAAAGGTGAGGCTCTCCTAGCTCCCCTGATACTTGGACAACAGGACCTTGTCTGGTCACAGGTAAAGAGGGCTCTGTGTGGGCCTTTCCCTAAGGGCCTGTCTTCTAGACTCTGGTAATAGCCCCCTGGGACTTTTGTGCTTTTGGTTTTTTGTTACTGTTGTTGTTTGGGTTTTTTTTTGGGGGGGTTGTTTGTTTTCTTTTGGGTAATATTGGAGATTGAACTCAGGGTTCACACATACTAGACAACCACCCTGCCCCTGGACTACATCCCTGGCCCTATCTACTTTTTATTTTGAGACAGGGTCTCCCAAGATGACCTCAAACTTGAAATCCTCCTGCCTCAGCTTCCCAAGTAGCTGGGATTAGGGTTACAGGTAGTGCCACCATGATCAGCTTCCCAGGACTTTAAACCCTAGGTTTTTAGAATTGATCCCTGTTGTGAGTAAGGGAGCAGGCTCCTTCCTAAAGGAAGAAGTCACCATTTGAAGGATACAATCAAAAAAATTGTTCCAAGAAAATCTGTTGTAAAAGAACTGAAAACCGTAGGTGAAAGGCGTAAAGAGGCTGAAGAGAGGCAGACACCTCTGGGAGTACAGAGTGCATCCTTCCTGGGGCTCAGGCAAGTGTGGTCAGGGTGGCAGGAAAACCAGGGGATCCCCAGCAGCTGGGTCAGAGGGAGGGGCTCAGAAGTGGTCAGAAAGTGGCTTTTATCCACGCCCAAGTGTTCCTGCCTTACTCACGCTAATAGTGAAGATGCCAGGCACACTGCTGGTGCTAAGGGGGTCAGGTCCAGTTGTAAAGCCCCCACTGCTATTGTGGTTGGTCCGGGTGTGTTGAAAGCTTGGTCCTCAGCTGGTATCGCTTACTGGGAGAAGGTGGGAATTTTAGGATGTGGGCCTCACTGGAGGAGGTGGCTCACTACGGTAAGACATGAGGGACACATCTTGTCCCCAGCTCCTCTTCTTTGGCTCTCTTGCTCCCTCTCTCTGCCCCGTGGCTGCCGGGAAACAGCAGCTTTCCTCTGCCACACCCTCCCACCATCATGCTTCTGATGCCCCACAGGTGTAAAAAGCCGTGCAGCCATCTGAAGATGGACTGAACCCTTTCAGACTGTGAGCCAAGTAACTCTTTCCTGCAGGGCGTGGTGGGGCACACCTGTCATCCCAGCATGCTGGGAGGCTGAGACAGCAGGGTCACAAGTTCAAGCCCAGCCTTGACCATTCAGCAACTTAGCCAAAACCCTGTCTTCAAATAAAAAGGGCTAAGGTTGTAATCCCAGCACTTGGGAGGCTGAGGCAGGAGGATCAAGGAGTTCAAGGCCAGCCTGGGCTACATAGTGAGTTCAAGACCACATAGCAAGACCCTGTCTCAAAAAAAAAAAAAAAAAAAGGGATGAGGCTATAGCTCAGTGGAAAGAGCCTAGGTTCAGTCCCCAGTTCTACAAATCAATCAATCTTCCTTCTAAGTTATTTGTGTTGGGCATTTTGTTGCTCACGGACACAGTAGCTCTTCCGTTTTGTTTAGTATTTATTTAATATGCTGGGAAACAGGAAAGTAGATACCCCAGGGTCTGGATTACACAGGGACAGTCTCTGTAGATCCAACCCAGGGTGGCTGCAGGCAGGTCCATCTGGATCCCTGCAGTGCTCCTTGTGACTGGGGTGAGCCAGTCAGGTCTGCAGGCCCTGGTTTTCTTCTTGTCAATCCCTTACTTATTGTCTAGGATGGGGTTCTGGGTCGGGGTGGTTTTGCTTCTGCCCTAGAGACATTTGACAACATCCTGGGATACCTTGGGTTGTCAAAACTAGGGAGTGGTGGTGCTGCAGGACCTCATGAGGGATGGCCACGCATGCTGCTCAGTACCCTGTGGTGCCCGGGACGGAAGATGCACAGGTACAGTCCTCTGGCTTAGGGCCCTGACAGATCAGTTTTCTGTATTAGGTTAAAATGGTAGCAGTTATGGTTGAGCTCAGTAGTAGGCACTTGGCTCACATGCAGAATGTCTGCCCTCAACCCTCAGCACTGCAAAGCAAAAGTGAGGGAGAAGTCGGCATCCTCTGCCTTCGCACACACCTGGCTCGCTCGGTGGAGCCGAGCACAGGGCCACTAACAGGAGGGAGAGGCCCTAGGTGTGGCCTGGACATCCTGCCTTGCACACTGGGAGTGGGGCTGTCATGTTCCATCTGCAGCTTATCTTGCTGCTAGACGCGGTGCTCCAGGGCTGCCCATGCTTGCTGTGCTGCACAAGCAGGACAGAGCCTGCCCTCTTGAGGTGCACTGTCCTGTGGGGCACCAGGATGCGTAGCAGACGAGGGAGTCAGGCTGAGAGGCGGCTCAGGCACAGACGGGAGCTGGGTGGCCCAATCATGCTGGTGCAGGGTGCTGCTCAGGGCCAGCTGGGTGCCTGTATGTCCCCGCAGCACCAGGGCGCGGAAGCCAGAGGGTAGGTACAAGGAGCAGGGTCTGTGTGGGCTCCTCCTGGGGGGCTGACAGGATCCCCCACCCACTGTGTGAGAAGCAGCTGGGCCGGGGCCCCAGCATAGCCTGTGTGGGGGGCAGGAAGAGGAGGCGGACTCTGAGGCATTGACCCTGAGCCAGCAGGACCGGCTGCCTATCAGCTGTGGTCACACATGATGTGTGCACAATTCATATCACTTGAACAGCTTTTTTTTTTTCTGATTGCAAAACTGGTTAAAAGTTCATTATTTTTAAATTAGAGAACTAGGGTGCAGATGGAAGCGAATCTGCTGCAGACCCAGAGGAACCACAGCTACATACACATACCTCTAGATTTTTTTCTGCATACACCAATATATATTTTTATTTTCTCTTTCTCTTTCTTTTTGTTTGCACTGGGAATCAAACTCAGGACCTTGTGCTTGCCAGGCAGGTGGTGTGCCACTGAGCTATATCCCCAGCCCTTTTTTGTCTTTTTGAGATAAGGTCTTGCTATGCAGTTCAGGCTGACCTCCAGCTCACTTTGTAACCCAAGTTGGCCTCCAACATGCAGCAATCCTCCTGCCTCAGCCTCCCAAGTGCTGGGACTACAGGCATGCACCACCATGTCCAGCTGGTATTTCATTTTAAAAACGAGAATAAAAGCTGGGCATGGTGGTGCATGCCTATAATCCCAGCACTCGGGAGGCTGAGGCAGGAGGATCATTGCAAGTTTGAGACCAGCCTGGACTACAAAGTGAGTTCAAGGCCAGCCTGAACTACATAGCCAGACCCTATCTCAAAAAAAAAAAAAAAAAAAAAAAAAAAACCAACCCAGTTTGGAGCCAGGGACAGTGGCACATGCCCATAATGCCAGCACTCAGGAGGCTAAGGAAGGCGATTGCAAATTCAGGTCCCTCCTGGGCAACTTAGAGAGACCCTGTCTCAAAATAAAAAATAAAAGAAACAGGAAAGAACAAAAATAACAATTCTGGGAATAAGGAATTTTGTGAATAAGGAAACTGAAGCCTAGAGAGGATATGTTGTTTTCATAAGATGGCATGGTTCATAGACCATAGTTGGACTCAGACCCAGATGTGTCAGCCTTTAAAAACAAAACAAAACTTACTTTGAAGTTTTTTTTGTTTTGTTTTGTTTTTGTCTTTTTTCGGTACCGGGAATTGAACTCATGACCTTGCACTTGCCAGGCAGGCGCTGTGCTGCTGAGCTAAATCCCCAGCCCCTGAATTAATTTTTTTTTTTGTCTTTTTGAGACAGGGTCTCGCTATGCAGTTCAGGCTGGCCTTGAGCTCACTTTGTAGCCCAGGCTGGTCTTGAACTCACAGTGATCCTCCTCCTGCCTCAGCCTCCCAAGTGCTGGGATTACAGGTGTGCGCCACCACACCTGGCTGTTGAATTTATTTTAGATTTAGAAAAAAATTGCAAGGGTTAGGGGTGTAGCTCAGTGACAGACATCTGCTTAGTATGTGGGAAGCCTTGAGCTCAACCCCAGGACCTCCCTCCATTAAAAAATAAGAGTTGCCATACATTTCTTACCTACTTTTCCCTGGTATCGATGTCTTACCTTTCTATACTGCCATGATCAAAACTAAGGAAGTGAATGCTGGTCATGGTTCTGTGACTAACTGAAACCTTGATCAGACGTTAACGGCTTCCGCCAGTGTCCTTTTTGTGCTCCAGGACACAGTGCTCAGTTATTGTCCAGTCCTCCCCATAACCGCAGTCTGTAACGTGTTTCCTTTTTCCATGGTCTTTCATGGTGGTGATGCTTTTAAGGAGTGTTACGATCATGCTACCAGCTGTCCCTCTCTATGGGTCTGTGTCATGTTTTCTCAGACTATGGTTATGCATTTTGGTCAGACTCATCCAGTAGGCGTCCAAGTGCTGCAGTTGGGTGTGATGTTGCTGAGCCTTACCACATGTGCGGGCCTCGGTGGCTCAATGGGTGACCTTAGCCTCTGTTTCCCACTTGGTCTGAGCCAGTGTGAAGAAGCCTCTTCTGGAATCACTGGTGGCAGCACTGTGCAGATGTTACCACAGAGGCTACCTGGCCTTGAGTGCTTTAGATAGAAATTAAACATGTTCATAATTCTAGAGACTTTTTCCAGCTTCTGACAAGGGAGTGGGGGATGCTGGGCAGAGAGGTGACAGGTGCTAAAGCCGCTCCACTAGCCAGGCGTTGGTGGCGCACGCCTGTAATACCCGCACTTGGGAGGCCAAGGCAGGAGGATCGTTGTGTTTGAGGCCGGCCTGGGCTACATAGAGAGACCCTGTCTCAAAAAGACAAAAACTAAAGAAGGAAAGAAAGAAAGAAAGAGACAGAGAGACAGAGAGACAGAGAGACAGAGAGAGAGAAAGGAAGGAAGGAGGAAAGAAAGGAAAGAAAGGAAAGGAAAGGAAAGGAAAGAAAGAAAGAAAGAAAGAAAGAAAGAAAGAAAGAAAGAAAGAAAGAAAGAAAGAAAGAAAGAAAGAAAGAAAAAAGAAAGAAAAGTAAGTAAGTAAGTAAGTCTCTCTACTGGATTGGGATGCAAACTACCGTTGGCAGGGGTCTTGGTTGAAAAGGCTTCTCTGATCCGTCCTCCACTCCCCTTTCCCCAGGAAGGGATGGTGCGGTGTCTTTAAGGCAGCATTTCCCCAGTTTATCACCTCCATTAGCCCAAGGACAAAGTGAAAATATTAACTGTTATTAAGGACTGAGAAGTAAGCTCTATGAGTTGGGATTATTTTAACCAGGAAAAACGTGAGCTGAAAGATGAGTGTCACTTTCACAAGAAAATAAAGTGTTTGTGTCTTTTTAAAATCTCCTTCTACAGAGGAATAAATTCAGCTTTCGATTCAAGGAAGATTCTGGCAAGACCGCATGATAAATTTGGGTTTTTTTGTTTGTTTGTCTGCAGTGCAGCATATTGAACCCCAGGACTACCACTACTGAGCTATATCCCCACCCCTTTTTATATTTTGTTTTAAGACATATTCTTACTGAGTTGTCCAGGCTGGACTCAAGCTTGTGATCATCCTGCATTAGGAGGCTGAGGCAGAATGATTCCCACAAGTTTGAGGCCAGTGTGGGCTATGTAGTGACTTCAAGGCCAGACTGAATTACATCATGAGAACCTGTTTCAAAAAACAAATTAAAAAAAGCAAAGCAAAACAAAACAAAACAAAAAAAGAAAGCAAAACAAATAACCAACCTGTGATCCTTGGCCTCCCAAGTAGCTGGGATTATGGGCATGTACCAGTGCTACCAGAAGGACTGCATGATCTTTATAGGAGATGTCTAGGCAGATGCTTACTGTCATAAGACCCTTTTGAGGTTTGATTCTTCCTGGGAAAAATCATATGGTGAAAGATATTCAAGCTCATATATGTACAGTCCTCATAACTTCATATTCTAAAATGAGTTTTGTTTTAAAAACTGCCTTAGGGAGCACTCGGGAGGCTGAGGCAGGAGGGTCATTGTGAGTTCAAGGCCACCCTGAATGAACTGCATAGCGAGACTCAAAAAGACCAAGAAAACAAGACAAAACAGCAACAAACTGCCTAAGGAGGCAGAGATATAGCTCCACATAGAAAATTTACTTAGTGTAGGTGAATCCCTGGGTTCAGTGCCCAGCACTCAAAAAAATACAATATTATGAATTATACTAAGTATGCAGAAAATGACAGCTAACAGCATAAAAGGCCCATGTGCCCTCCTCCTGGTGAGGAAACGGTGCTGAGTGCTCGGGGCAGGGAAGGTGGCGGGCTGCTCCCTGCCAGCGTGTGGCTTGCCAGTGGGTGTGGGTACAGCTGAGCCTGCTCTCACTCCAGGCAGGAAGAGCCACATATCATCAGGTGCCTGATTCCACAGTCCCATGCCAGTGCTGGGAGTCCCATCACACCTCTTTTTTTTTTCCTCTGGGAATTTTGTTTTGATTTTGGAGGGGAGGGTTGTGGAACTGAACTAAAGACCTTGTGCTTGCCAGGCAGGTACTTGTGCCACTGACCTATATCCCTGGCTCTGTATTTTGTTTTTGTGGTATAGCCTTCTCACTGAGCTACACCACCACCCCTTCTTTTGTTTTTTATTTTGAGATAGAGTCTCAATAATTGCCAAGTTGCCCAAGCTAGGCTCAAACTTGTGATCCTCTTGCCTCAGCCTCTCAAGTAGGTGGAATTCCAGGCATGCTCCATTGCAACTGGCTCATTTTTGTTCTTCAGTCTCACTGTTGCCCAGGCTGGTCTTGAACTCCTAGGGCCAAGTGATCCTCCCACCTCAGCCTCCCAGATAGCTAGAACTTCAGATGTGCACCACCACTTCTGGTCTATCACATCCCTGTTTAAAGCAAGGACTGTGAGCTCCAGGGAGGTCATCTCAAGAAGTGATTTTTGGCTGTGGTTAAAAAGAGGCGAATGGTGGGAGAGTGCATTGAACATAGGACCTCTGTCCTTGAGGCACTGAGTCTCGTGCTGCTTATTTCTATTCCAGGCGTCATCTGCTCCTGTCCACGCACCTGTGTGTGCGCCCTCGTTTCTCCATTGAAAGAAACCCGCTTTACCACAGAACTGTGTCTTGGTTTCCCATCAGCAGTACATCTTGGAAATCGCTCCCTCATTGCACATGATGATTCACCGTGTTCTTTTTAAACAGTTGTGTATATGAAACACTAATTTTGCCAGTACTCTCTTGGGAAACAGTGAGTTGTTTCATGGCTTTTGCTACAGATGGTATTCCTGTGTATTTGAAATATACAGGGCAATCAAGGGCTAAATCCTGGAAAGGGGTGTCTCATAAAGGTTGAAGGAAGAGTGCTAGTTCCTATCTGTCATGTGTGAGGTGCTGGGTTCAGTACCCAGCACCACACACACAAAGGTGAGAGCAGAGTCCGTGGCTTGGGCTCATCTGCCACTGATGGGCTTATGTGAGCTGAACAGCTGTGCTTTTGAGTCCAGCCAAGACCGATGATGGCTGAAATAGCAAGTTTGGTCTAAGCCAGCTAGGCAAAAATGAGTAGTTAAACAAGATGAGGAGTGAATTTCACCTGGTTGTTTCCTGTGGTGACTCTTATTTCCTGATCACACCCTTAGTTAGAATCATCATTTTCCTGCACACACCTAGGCTTCTGAGTTCTTTCTCCCAGCCTCCTTGCTACACAGTGTGCTCTGAGGGAGATGGTATCAATCCCTCCAGTGTTCAGAATGAGGCTGTAACAGGAACTGGTCAGGAGACTTCCGGGGTTGCCCTGCTGGTGTCCTATTGGGTTGCGGGAACATTGGCACCACTGGGACTTTGAGGGTTGGAGCGTGGGGCACCTGGTACAGCCCAGCAGTAACTGCTTCACCTTTACCTGGTTGTTTTTTCAGACATTTCCGTGGCTTGTCTGACTCAGATCTTTTGTCTCTGCAGGTTGCTTTCACAACCAAAATCTATCACCCCAATATCAACAGCAATGGCAGCATCTGCCTGGACATCCTGCGATCACAGTGGTCTCCAGCACTGACGGTGTCCAAAGGTAGAGACCCTGGCGAGTGCTCCATATGTCGTCTCTCATGTTTTTACCTCCTTGCTGACTGGGTGGACGCAGGGACTCAGGAGGCTTTCTAAGGTCCTACAGCCCGCCCAGCCCTGTGTCCACTCAGTGTGCCCACACCGGGAGGACATAGCATCCTTGGAGCCCTATGCCCTGCACCCTTGAGGTCCTCAGCAGCCAGCCACTGTGGGGTGCTCAGGGCTCTGCCACTTGGGTACAAAACATGGGTACAAAGAGCAAGTACTGTACTTATACTCCTTATCTTAATAGCAGAAGGATAGCCAGGTGTGCTTGTAATCCTAGCACTCTGGAAGGCTGAGGCAGGAGGATCCAGAATTCAATTCCAGATGGGCAATATAATAACTTACTGAGACACTGTCTCAAAATAAAAAATAACTAAAAACAGAACTAGAGATGTGTGGCTCAGTGCAAAAAGCCCTGTGTACAATGAATAAGGCAAAAATAATTGTTTTTTAGCAAAGGACAAAAATTTATTTATTTATTTTAAAATTTATTTTTATTTGGCATAAAATATACAACCAAAAGAGCTCAGGGTTTGGGCAGTAGGGAAGATGGAGTACACATGGTGTCTATTTAAGGTAGGGAACTGTGTCTCTGACTCCTCCACCCTACCCCTTTGTGAAGAAGGACCATAAGGCAGTGTTTTCAGAGGGGAGTTGATGCTGTGCTGGGGCTCTTATAGGACACATGATCCCTGAGGGACAGAACACCACAGCTGTCAGGTGGCATCAGAACTACACTGCAGAGCCCTTGGAAATCCTATAGCCCACTTTCCCCAGCCTGTACCTGGGCATACTGTGGCCCAGAGAGGGAAGGGCACACAGATCCAAGAAAAAAAGTCGGAACTAGAACCTGGGCAAACTCAGCGGGACGCAGCCACAGACTTGGCCATGCGCAGTAGATATTAGACGTGTCAGGCAAGCGGGTAACCTGCAGAGAAACTGCTGTGGTTTGCAGGCAGCAGCCACTGCGCTGCTGTCCCTGACCTCAGAGTTGGGTGTGTAACACCCAACAGCTAACTAGATGGTGGTCGTGAACCTCAAGACTTTTCTTTCTGTGAAGTGGTAGAGCTTTCTTGCCACGAATGGCAGTATTATTATAGTACCTTCTCTGTTCTTTCCTTTATCCATTCATCTGGCAAGAACCAATACAGAGCCAGGCATGGTGGCGCACACCTGTAATCCCAGCACTCAGGAGGCTGAGGCAGGAGGATCATTGCAAGTTCGAGGCCAGCCTGGGCTAATGAACTCAAGACCGGCCTGAACTGCATAGTGAGACCCTGTCTCAAAAAGACAAAAAAAAAAAAAGAACCCATACAGACTGTGAGTCATCCCTGAAAGGAGACTCACAGGGCCTGCCCCCAGGTGCCTCGAAGTTGGTGCAGGCGCAATGTCTGGATGACAGTGAAGAAACCAGCCTGAAGCAGAATGCAGAAATGCAGATATTAACAAAGAGGAAAAAAGAAAAGCAGTGCAGATACTCCTTCTGAAGTAAGACGGGCTTAGCATGAACGGTTCGTGCTGGAATCCTGAATATCGAGCACCTCAGCCTATCAGGTGAAGGTGGTGGAATGGTGAAAAACTTCAACCCAAGAAACAGTGGATTGTGAGGCAGTACAGATGGCAGAGCCCTGGGCAGCCAGGAGAGGCCATCAGAGCACCTTGGGCAGCTGGCAGGGCTGGCTTTGGAAGGCTAAAGGGGCTGCAGCAGCAGATAGGGAGGTGGCTCTGTCCCCTTGGGTTCTCCATGTCTGACATATCTGGATACAGCCCAGCGTCCTGCCGAGACCACTCCTCTGACTGGAACCTCATTGCACTGCCTGAGGCCCGAAGTGTAGCAGGGACAGTGTCACCCTCTGCCAGCCTCGCAGGGCTATGTACAGTGAAGCCAGGGGAGCCAGGGCCAGTACAGCCTTAGGAGCAGGGCCAGAACAGGAGAGGAAAGTGCAGTGCAGGGAGGGCCCTCAAGTGGGAGGAAGGAAAACAGCTGGGTCTAGGGGTACTGAGGGGAGCCCGCAGCCTTCTGGGGCCTCTCAGCTCAGAACAGCAGGACATCAAGTCTCTGAAGCAGACGGGACCTGCCCCTTCCATTTGTAGCTTTAGCAGTAGGAAAACTGCTCAGGACTTCAGTGGACTCACGAAAGCCGGTTTGGAGTCATGGCGGGTCCAGGGAGAGTGGAAACCATAATTCTAGCAGCTCCTTCTGCTCTTCACCGAACCCAGAGGGTGACTCCTTTCATCCAGGGCCTCCGAGAGCCACACTGAGCGTATGTCCCAGGGACCAGCATGAGCAGGAGGGAGTGTTGGCCTTGTGGTCACAGCCTCATTTCAAAATCTGTTTTACGCCCATCCCGGGTGCTTCACGTTTGTGACTTTGAAAAGTTACTTGGATGGCCTGAGCTCCTGTCTTAGCAGCAGGCAGGGTGCCTGGGACCAGAGTGTGTGGCGTTAGGCACAGACGGGCTCAGGCTCAGCAGAGGCTGGAACTGCCCGGGCTTCAGTGAGAGGAACAACGAGGGCTGGGGCCACCCTGGAGCAGTGTGCTGCGCTCGCACCATGAGGTCCACAGTGTAGCCCGCCAGCGGTGTGTGGGCAAGGCAAGCTCATGACGTGAGCAGAAGCATCAGACTGGTGAACAGAAAGTACAAGTGTGCAAAGGTTTGCCAGACTCAGGGGTGACCTCGTGGCCACAGCTGACTAACTCTTTCTTCTCTTCCCAGTTCTCTTGTCCATCTGCTCTCTGCTCTGCGACCCCAACCCTGATGACCCTCTGGTGCCAGAAATAGCTCACACCTACAAGGCCGACAGAGAGAAGTACGCCTACTCTTTGGGTTGCTTTGTGCCATGACCGCCCAGGTTCGCAGGACACCTTCCTGCCCGTGCCACGCTCTCATCCAGTGTGTGTCCAGGCCTGGCCTCCTGGCGCTCACTAACATGTCCTTTGACTCGGAGGAGGGAGCAGGGATAAGAGCAGTTCACCCTCCTGGGTGGCTCACCAACTGCCACTGCTGAACCCTAAAATACTGCTATAAGCCCTGCCCTCAGGACAGCAAAGTCAGTGGCCAAGAGTGGACTCAGAAGAATCCGAAAGAAAATTCTGGATTAAACCCACAGGTTTAAGGTGTAAGATAAGGGGTTGTCTGCCTGGCCAGACCTAGAGTGAGGCTGACACCGGTGAGAAGGGCACACTGACGGTCCGTTTGCTGGCGTGGTTGCACGGGAGCAGTGCTGCTGTCTGTCCAGCAGACTCGCACTGCCCGCTCTCTGTTTGAACATCAGTCTCCAGAGCCAGAAGCGTAGAACCTGGACTCCCTTCTCCGGCACGTCCGCGTGCGCCAAGGCCGGGGGAGCCGGGGGAGCAGACACAGTGGACGTCAGCACATGCCATTCTCTGGGTGTTGGCAGCCCAGGGAGAAGGGGCTGGGTGTGGCAGAGCTGGGCAGCAGGAGCAGCAGCCCTGTGAGAAGGGCTGGGTCCCAGAGGGAGGGACTAGGGACGGTGTGGAATGACTGGCATGAGTCTTAGGTCATCACTTGTGTTTGAAGAGATTAGAATGGAATGTAGTTTTTTCTAGCTTAACTTTTTCTTGAGACCTTTAGAGATCTTATTTCTGTCATTGAAGTTTCCTGGTAACAGTTAAAATGAATTTTATTTGATTAATTTTAAATTGTATTTACTTTAACTTTTGTTATGAGTTACTTAGACATAACAGTGATTTTTTTCAGTGCCTTCTCTATAAACTTGTCTCATTTACAGTCCCCTGGCCCCAGCTGTCTTCATAGTACTAGTGAGGGTTATATGCACACCGCCACTGCCCTCAGTGGGCGCTGGGCCTGTGCCACGTGTGTCCTCCCCAGTTTGTTCGTGATGCACAGGAGGGCAGACCACAGAGAGGTGGCACTGGAGTGTGTGCTGGACAGCCTGGCACATTCCAAGCTGAACCTTGAGACGCTCTTTCTTCCTTCACTGCAACCATATTGAAGGCCAGGAGAGTGTGGAGGTTTGTTGCATTATTACGTCTTCCACAGCATGTAGTCACAGAGGATCCACAGGACTCACTGAGCAAGGCGCTTGCAGCCGTGACCAAAGCGTTCCTGATCCAAGGAGAGTGTTTTCGGGATGTCTGATGAGCAGCACGTTTGCCCACATCAGTCAATGTTTGCTGCTCCCCAGTGCAGTGACATGGCCATTTCAAGTGAGGGTGTCACTCCCTCTGCTTTTTTCTTCCAGGTACAACAGGCTAGCACAAGAGTGGACACAGAAATATGCTATGTAAGTGCCTCGGAGGTTTTGAGGGACAGACTCGCCTGCCAGGCCCATGTCTGCCTGTGAAGCTGAGCTGTGGGCTGCACCACTCATGGAGCGTCGTCTCTTCTTCACGCACGCCTTGGCCGCCCCCTCTTTCTGGCTGCAGCATGTTGGTGCCACTCTCAGCCATTGTGGCTTTGACAGAGTCACATCTTTGATGCCAAATCAGCAGCCATTGTTATGATCTGCAGCCTTCCTGGTTATACTGAAACCAGTCCGTCTGCTCATGTCATCTGTTCCGTCTGGGGGACAGGGTCCTGCACACCTCCCCCGTCAGCCTTGGACAGTGCCGCCGCTCACTGTGGCACCAGGTGGGAGCCCAGCCTGGCCCCTCACCACCTGCCCTTTGCCTTTAGAACTCAGAGTCGTCCTGGGCATCCAGGGCAGAGCGGGCTTCCTTTACATCTCGTCTGCCACAGAGCCATGTCCTCAGGAGTCTGAGTACATCCTGGAGGCTCCTGGGAATTGGGACAGTGTCACTGGAAAGCAGAAGCCTCATTCTGTGGCTTCTGCCATCTTCCACTGTCTTCCTCTGCAGATCCACATGGTGCATTTCTCTCCTCACAACAAGAAGCAGGAAGGGGAAGATGTCGGGATGTAAAGCACGTAACACTCCCTGAAAGATGACGGTGTGTTTTAGAAGCAAGAGCGAAATTATGAAACCAGGAAAGATTTAGATTCTTTTGTATGTGATGAGGGTTCCCCAACCCCACCACCTCCTGCCAGGAACATACACAAAGTCCAAGTGTAAGCCATTCGCAGACGAGAACACAAATACTGGGAAAGACTTTCAAATGTAAATAAAAATGTGGTTTCCTTATAACTCAATGATAATTGGCATTTAAATATCCTTTTTTTCTTGCATGCAGACTGGAAGATAGACTTAGCAGGTTCTTCAGAGCCTTGTTAGAGTAGTGCCTGGCTTCCCTGCCTGGCTTTCTGCTGGAATACATTTCCAGGTTTGCCCGTAGAGCTAAGAGATTTGAGATTAGGTTAGCTCAGAAGAGGCAGGAGAATATTTCTAACAAAGCCTCCAAAGAGGGAGGGAGGTTGAAAGGCTTGAAATCTCTAAAGTCAAATCCAACTTAGTTTTTCCTGGGTTGGTTATAAGCTATTCCATTCCCAGGGAGTCATTCTTTGATGAGGCATAAAACTAGGAAACCAAAAGGCCAAGCATGGCCTTTACAAGCAAATGGGGAAAAAAAAAAAAAAAACGGACAGATCCAGCACTGGGGGTCAGTTAAGGTGACCACAGGAGATTACTCACCCCAGAAACTGCCTGGTTGTAGCTGTGACCTTATTGCCAAGTACACTGCCAGTGAGATGCCATTCTGAGACTGCCTACATCGTCACCACTGTGGCAAAGGGTGAAGCAGAGTGAGCCTGATCCACACGTTTTGTGGAGGTTCCCACCTGCAATCCCCATAAGGCTTTCTGGGGGTCCTGTGACCTTTGTTAGTTCCTTGTCACTGTGGGGAGAATTGCTTTTAAATCAGTCTCTCTGTCTCTCTGATAAGCCTTAATACACGGGGAGAGAGCTTTTACTATGGCGTCCTCCCAGGGGCTGTTAGCCAGGCTCTGCAGAGCAGCCGCCATGTAGTGTGTGAGATCATGTGCTTCCGCTCAGCACACACAGCACTTTGCAGATAATGACTCATGGAGTGGGAAGGGAGCACTGATGCACATTAGACACAGGTCAGGGGGAAGTCCAGGCCCAACTTGCTGTTGGAGCTGTATCCATTGGCTGCTCTTTCAAGCATATAGCTTGTAACTTCAGAAAACGCGGATTTTCTGAAATCAGTCAAAATTCCCCCAAGCATGTCCTTTCTGATGGAGACACAGAGTGGAAAAAGTAAAATCGGGCCTTTGGAACCTCTAGTATAAATTTCCATGTGCTCATTGCAAGCTTCAAGTAGGCTTTGTACCTGGCAGACCCCTCAGACTGGCTTGTCCCCCAGCAAATCCTGTTTTCTGCACTGGGAAAGTCACCCACTTGTCATGCCTTCCAGGATCCAGCTCACCCCAGAGAACAGCAACTGGACAGCAGATCTAAAAAGCCAACTGGGCTAGCCATGGTGGCCCACACCTGTAATCCCAGGACTCGGCAGGCTGAGGCAGGAGGATAACCATGAGTTCGAGGCCAGCCTGAATTACAGAGCAAGACCCTCTCTCAAAACCCACACACCTGGGAATAATGTGGTTTTTTTCCCTCTATGAATCAGAATGATCAGGAAGGTGAGTGATCTTAAGCAATTGATCTGTGTTGAATCAATAACTCCTAACATCCTCAGAAGCTTCTGAATTTGTTGACTGGAACTGAGGTTTAGATCCTCTGTCAGCTCCAGGAAGACCCAGAGCTCCAAAAATATGGCAAAGGTCAAAATCTCCTGGCAAAGGATTAAAATGCCAGGATGCAGTGTCCAGGAGGCCTGATATTCATAACTGAGCAGTCTGCCAACACCGTGGAATTCCACACTGCCTCCCTGCAGTTGCTCAAGAGTGGCCAGATATCTGTCTGAAATTCACAAGAAAGCCTCAGTGTCAGTGCGCTTGCAGGACTCAGCTGCCGACCGGTCTGGGGTCTGTCCATGGTACTGAAACTCAGGTTGCGTCCTGAGCTAAGCACAGAGTCGCTTATTTCTCCTCCCTTTCCATGGCTGGTTGTTTAGCGGGCACATACTCCCTCCCTTGCAGTACTGGGTAAGGGCTGGACCGGCTCTGCATCTAGCCGTGAATGCTGATGCTCTGAAAAGTGGAGGGTGTGGCTATTAGCACTTCTAGAAAGCAGCCTGATGCTGTGCAGGCAGGAAGAATAGTCCCTCCTTTGCAACGTTCCTTCCAGAGGCCTGCTCCTTCACCTACTGTCCACCTGTGAGAGGAGGAAGGACTTGGTATTCACTCTCTGAGGTCAGCTTGCTGGTTTCATTGTCCCTACAACCTGGTTTTTCTTTGTTCACAGATTTTATTTAAAACAAAAACAACAGAAAAGCTACTAAGAATCTGCAAAACCTACCAGGCCAGCCAATGGCTTCCTCAATTTTTCTTAAAAATGTCTCTTCCTTCCTGGTCCTCCCAGGGCCTCAACCTCCAGACTGGTGTGCTTGATAGCACCCAGCTGCATGCAGCAGGGTGTCCTCAAGGACAGCAGCTCAGCCAGGCTGCATGTTGGGGGGGCAACATAGAGCTGCCTCTTGTAGCCTACTTCTCACCATGCTTTCCCCCACAAGCCCAGTCTACTTGATCTCCAGGGAGTGGTTCTGCAAGTAAGGTTGTCACTTCTAGCTGGCCATCATAATAATTTTATCAAAGTATTGATTAGGCACTTATGTGCAAGGCTGAATCAGGTCCGCATACCCTAGAGCAGGAAGAGGAAGCTGTGTGCACCGCTACTTCCCACTATGAGACCCTTCAGCCTACTCTCCATGGGCCCTGGTTTTTCCTACTTTTCCCTCAGCATGGATGAGTCCAGTCACCACACACTAAGCAGATCTAATTCCAGAACATAGAAACCTGCTCCTTTGGCCTGCACAACCTGATTTCAGGTAAGGGTGAAATAGGACACATCTCCTCATGGGGAGGAGACATGGATTCTCTTAATCTGTGATGTGTGTGTTACTTTTCTCTTTGTGGAGACAAAATACCCAACATCCACAAGTTAAGGGAAGAAAGTTTATTTAGCTCACAGTTTGTAGAAGTTTCAGTCCATAATTGGCTGACTCTAAGGCAGGGTAGCATGGCAGGCAGGCATCACAGAGGAGAAACAGTCCATGGTGGGCAGAAGATAGAAAAGCAACAAGAGACCACCACAGCTCTTTCTATCCCTCATATCTTATCCAGTCTACTTAGGGCAGGTGGCACTCACATCTTTAATCCTAGTGTCCTTGATCCTAGCATTGCACCGTGAATCAACCCCAGCCTTACACAGCCACCTCTGAAAAAGCCCCACCTATGACTGCGTGAGGCTCTAGGGAGAGATCTAGACACAAGCCATGTTACCCACTGAAGGTGGAGACATCTTTCTCCCTGTTTGGCCTAGCTAATAATGTATGGAATGCATTCCCCCCTTATCCCCTTTTCTTATCAAAAATAGCTGGTAATACATATTTCACACTATGAAGAAATACTCTAAAACAATGGGGGAAAAACATACTCATGACCCAATGGAAAATTACCAACTCTTGACCTAGCCCAGTGAAGCCATGAAAGCTAGATCCATTATTTTGTTAATGGGCCAATCTGATCTCTGCCAGACATGTACCCTCTTCACTTATTCCTCAAAAGCTGAAGACCTTTCTCTATTCTCTCTTCCTTTCAAAGCTTTTGTCTATAAATTCATTCTGTTTTAATTTCCATTATCATTAAAACAAGTTCCTACACATGTCCTGTATCAAGGGTAGGATCTCCTGAGTTTGACTGAAATGTTGAGGCGTGCTTCCAGACCTCCTGGGGGTCCTGAAACCCCAGGATGGACCCTGAGGGCCGAGGAGACGGAATTGTTTCCCCATGGCCAGAAAGGAAATGGTGAGCTGCTTCCTGTCTTGGCCCCTTTCCCTCGAGGAAGGCTTGAAGATAAAAGTGCGGCCACATTTGTGGATGGAGGGAACAAGTGCTCTCTGTAAGGGAGCGGATAGAGGCAAGATGGGGCGCTTCCCGGTGGGGCAGCCATCCCCACGTGGAGATGACACAGGACACGGGCTGTCTTGTAATCTCCACTACTTGGCCTCAACCAAACTGCTCAGGGAAAAAACACAAATGGGAGCAAAGAAGTACAAAAGTAGCGGTGCGATCGTCATTTAGCATTCATTTATTTATTCGTGTATTCAACCAAGCTGCTCAGGGAAAAAACACAAATGGGAGCAAAGAAGTACAAAAGTAGAGGTGCGATCGTCATTTAGCATTCATTTATTTATTCGTGTATTCCTTATTGTATGCATCGATCAGACTTCTGATGGGGGTCCACAACACGCTCGGAGGATCTTGTCCGGAGGAGGACTCGTGAATCGGAGATCTCTCGAAGTGCTGTAACTGACAATCAGAACAGAACGTGCGAGCACTCAGAGCCACGTCCTGGAAGACACCCCCGAGGCGCAGACCAGAGGATGGATTTAAGACCCGCTGACCGCCCCGCCTCTACTTCCGCTTCCGGCCTCCCGGGCGGGGCTTCCGATCGTCAGAGGCGAGGCTTCCGGCCACGGGGCGGGGCTTCCGGCCGTCCGGGGAGGCCGGCCCGAAAGCTGCGGCAGCTGCAGTTCTGGGACCTCGGGGCAGACCATGGCGGCGAACCTGAGCCGGAACGGGCCGGCGCTGCAGGAGGCCTACGGGCTGGTGGTGGACGAGAAATCCCCAACTGACTGGTGGGCCGCAGGCGGGGAAGGTTGGGGGCGTAGGGGAAAGGGTGCAGCGGGGCGCGGGGTCCCTGCCTGCCCGCCCTGCACCGGCGAGGTGCTGACCCGCCCTGGTCGCCGCGCGCCGCCCCGCGGGGCTCCGGGTAGGATGCTGGGCCCGCTGGTGCCTGCTGGCCTCGCCAGGTCTCTTCAGCCCCTGACTTGCCCAGAGAAAGGGTCCTCGCAGCCCGCCGCCCAGAGGGCGGAGATAGTCCCCTTCCTTCCAGGCGGGCTGCGTTCAGGAAGGGCCTTTGCTCGCGTCTTGACCCCTGCCGGGGACGGGAGCTTGGAAGCTGACAGAGAGCCCAGGGGGCTCGGTCCCTGGTTCACCGTGAATATGGGTGTCAGGACCTCGGTTTCTCTTTCCTGTGTCTGAGTCATGGGAAGATGAAAGTAGGATGCTGGCCACCTGTTCAGGTAAAAGGTTTCATCTTTCCTTCGCCAGCCCAGGACGTCTTCTAGGTTGTCGGTCAGGGTATAGGCCGTACTGTGCAGCTACTGGAACTTGGGGTAGCAAGAGCCTGGGCTTAAGTTTCTGGGTAACCCTGGGCAGCCCCCACATAGATCAGCTCTCTGCAGCATGCCTGGCTGTATATGGTAATTCTGTTTCACTTTCTCATTGGTTAAATTGTTTTCGCTGCCCAGTGTTTAGCACTTCCGTTTCTGAGTAGGGTGGAGTAACCGGACCAACCCTGGGGAATAGAAAAGGGATCCCGGCCGTGGAGCCTTGGCGGCACCACGCTGTGGCCAGTGCCCAGGCCGTCTCTCCTGAGCCAGCCCCTGTAATGGGTCCTCGTGGGGCCTCTTCCTGTTGCCCAGCAAGGCTCTGCTGCTGTGATCACCCACCCCGCTTCAGGTGCTTTCTTGCCTCCTCTGGACCTCCCTGGCATCTGTCTTCTTAGGAACCATCCCTGGTTTGTGGATGATGCCCCACAGCCAGCTGGCAGTGCAGGCTTCCTGCTGCCACCCAGGCTGGGGCTGAGCTGCCTGCCTCCTAAGGATGCTGAGCTTTCATTGCCCAACAGCTGTACTGCCCTCACCCTCTCACCACCCCCAGCTCCTGCCGCTCTGTAGGGTTCCTGCTCCGCCCCTGGCCTGCACCTCATTGTCACAGCCATTTGGTGTAGTTACTCAGCAGAGCGTCTGGCAGGTCCCCACTCACTGAGAAGTATTTAGACCATCTCACTTCCCTACCCATAACTCTGCAGCGGCTTCCTGTTGCACGTTAAATAAAGCCCAGGCTCCTCTTCTAGGCTGACCTGCCCTGCATGACCCTGTTCCCACTGCCCCTCCTGCTTACCACACTGTAGCCGCACCTGTTTGCCACCGCTGTCCACCGTCTTTCTCTTCCTCAAACTTGTGAGCTGGTTCCTCTTCGGAGCTCTTCCCCTTGTTGCTGCCTCTGCCTGGAGCACACTCAGTAATGCAGGTGGCTTCACACCTCTGTTCTAAGGTCTCCTTCCTGGATTCCTGGGAATCCAGGCTGCAGTCACGTTTCCCTGTTCATGTTTCACTTCTATCAGATGTGTACTGTACACATCCCAGCAATTCCCCTGGCTTTCCTTGTCACCATTGTCTGTTCACAGAAGGGTATAGTGGGCCCTGCCTCTGTCCCCAGTCTCTGGTACGGAGTTGTTATGTGTAGTCAATGTTGGGATGAAGGCTGGACTGAGCATACAGAAAAAGTAGAGAACATCGGAGGAGGAAGACATGGCCTCCATTTTGGTGAAGAGTTTCACACGGTGCAGGTAGCACTGCATGAGGCCTTGAGGCCAGAGCCTCTGTACTCCATCTTGGGGCTATCTCCAGCGCTCTCCCCCCAGATCGTGGCATGATTTGTTCTCATGTGGTTCATATGTCACTTCCTGTGCCTGCTACGCAGGGCATTAGCTTTATTTTACTGTCTTTTTGAGACAGGGTCTCGGTATTCAGTTCAGGCTGGCCTTGAGCTCACTTTGTAGCCCAGGCTGGTCTCAAACTCCTAACAATCCTCCTGCCTCAGCTTCCTGAGGGCTGGGATTACAGGCATGCTCCACCATGCCCAGCAAGACATTAGCTTTAGGTGTGTTTTGCTTCTCCTGTTAGAAGGTCAGTTCCCTAGGCGGGGCCCATTGTAGCTACCTACCTGTCACCATAAACAGTAGGTTCTCAGCACACGTATTTGGAAAGAGTGATAAGGTGTGTGGCACCCCATACTTCCTGGCTGCGCCTGCGCCCACACACCATGCTTTCTCATGGTGACCTGAAAGAAGGGTGGAACTCCACAAAAGGCAGAAATGAACCTCAGAGCTGGGAACATTCTGGAAGGTGGTTAAAAGCGGAGCCTTGGGGCTGGGAGATGAAGCTGAGGTGTAGGCAGCAGGCACTGAGTTTGGCCTTATTAGCTGCCACATCACTTCTTAGGAGAGCCAGGCTACCAACTCCTGTTCCCTGCTGCTTGTGTCAGTCCCCATGCTACAGTAGCTAGGGTTTATGACCACCAGGAGAAAAGGGCTTCTTTCTTCCAGAGAACTCCAGCAACAGGCCGAACATCTGCTTCCTATCTCTACCCACTGCATCAATGATGGCAAACCTTTCAGAGCTTTCAAACTGCATTGCTCAAGCCGGGCGTGGGGGTGCGCACCTATAATCCCAGCACTCAGGAGGCTGAGGCAGGAGGATCATTGCTAGTTCGAGATCAGCCTGGGCTACAAAGTGAGCTCAAGGCCAGCCTGAACTGCATAGCGAGACCCTGTCTCAAAGAGACCAAAAAAAACCTCAAAAAACAAAAAAAAATGCAAACTGCATCGTTCATGCCACATACTCACCTCCACAGCCTCCATCTTTCTCCTGTTTTTGTGGTCTTGTTAGTGTATCTCCTGCTGGATTCTGATTCCTGTCCTGGGAAGCAGCAGCTCTTTCTTTGTAGACTGTCCCTACCCACTGACCAGCTCTGATTTCTTTGGTCCTTTTTGGGCAAACACACTAGCCAGTTTCATCAGCAAGTCCCTTGTCCCAGAGCTTCCATCCAGCCCAACTCTAACTGGGAGGTGACAGACACTGGGCTGTCCTTTGCCTTTGACCTGCCAGCAGATGGTTCGTTGTAGAGTTTGTGCTGGCAGCTGGACTCACTGTGGGAGCCTCAGGCATAGCATGCCTCTTGGAGACCACTTCTTCTGGAATGTTCTTTTTAAAAAATTTTTTCTATTTTGATTTTTTAAGACAGGGTCTCACTATGTAGTTCAGGCTGGGCTTGAACTCACTGTGTAGACAAGGCAGCCCTCAAACTCTTGGCAATCCCACCTGAGTGCTGGGATCACAGGCATACACCATCATGCCCCATAACACTTCTGGAATGTTCTTTTTTTCCTAGAATGTTCTTGAGTGACTTTTGTTCTGGTTGAGGGCCTTTCCATGGCTCAGATTTAATGATATTTACTCTGTTTCCTCACCACCACTGGAGCACAAGTTTATAAGGCAAAATCTTATCAGAGTCTCACAAATAGTCTTATAGGAGGGCCAGGGGTGTAGCTTGGTGATGGAGTGCTTTCCTGGCATGGGCAAAGCCCTGGGTTCCATCTCCAGTACTGCAAAAAAGGAGAGGAAAAAAAGGCTTACAGGCAGCCCCGCAGGGTGCCTATGTTTCTTCCTCCTCCTCCTCCTTTCCCCCCCTCTTCCTCCATAAGGGTGCTTTGGGTTCAGGCATGTGGAGGCATCTTTTGTCTTTTCAGATTCCTACACCTGATAGCCAGGTGAGCATCTCACACGTGAATGTGTAGAAAGTCATTGTAAAACTCCACAGCCATGTTTTCCTCATAAGTGACTGTGTGCTCCCCATCACCGCTCGGTCCTCAGCTCACCTGCCCCGGGGTAGTCAGCGGTGGAGCACCCAGCCTGAACCTGTCCCAGAACCTGCCCCACAAGTCCTGGCAGGGCAGGGCAGGGCTGGGCCTGTGTGTGCTGCCCTGCTGCATGGATGGCCGGCAGAGCAAGCAGCCCCTGACCCAGCTTATGTTGTGTTTCAGGGCTCTCTTCACCTACGAAGGCAACAGCAATGACATCCGCGTGGCCGGCACTGGGGGTGAGTATGGCCCAGTGGCTCAGCACCAGGGGATGGGTGAGCAGAGGAAGGGTAGGGCGTTTTGAGGGTCACTGGTCCCTCTCATCAGGCTTTTAGCCACGCAGCAGGACAAGGGGGACTCGGGAAGGCCGGCGTCCCCTGCGTGTGGCTCAGCTGTGAGGACGCCTCCCTGTAGGAGGGTAGGCAGCTCTGTTGCTGCCGCCCTCACACCCAGCCACTGCAGCGCCACTGAGGGTGCCTAGGCTTCCTGTTCGGATACAGAGTGGCACCAGACAGGCTGGCGGCAGAGTCCTGGATGGCACAGGCAGTTCCGGCAAGCTCTGGGTTTCAGGTGTTTGTGAGTGAAGCACTCATTCTGCTCAGCTCTCCTGGCCCGGGCACAGGGCAGCGCTGCTGTCTCCCAGGTTCGTGGGGAGGACCCAGGTAAGCAGCCGGCCCTTTCCAGAGCTTGGGCAGCCTGTATCTCAGGCTGCAGCTGGCGGATGCCAGTCTCAAGAGCTGGCACAGGTGGGGAAGGCGCACAGTCATACCTGCCCTGGCCATGGGCAAGGGCACACGGGGCCCTACATGTCCCCAGAGAGAGGCTGTGTCCCAGCAGGTGGCCACAGGGACTCTATTGGGGGCTCTTGGGGGGCAGGTATCCGCTCCTGGCCGGCACTGGGCAGAGACTGGCAGGTAGGCTGAGCCAGAGATGCTGGGGTGTGACCTGCACACCAGCTGGCTTTCCTGGTTCCGCCCAGGCTGAAGGCCATGCCTGACCTACCCCACTCCCAGTCCCGAGCAGGACCTGGTCTCTTTGTTCTGTGAGCACCTGGAATGTTCTTGGCTTGGCCAGACAAGGGTAGTTTTCCTGCTGCTGTTGCTGGAAAGCCCCTTCCTCTGCATGCTCTTCTCCTGGCCTCAGCCTCTTTCCAGAAGAGTTACGGTGAATGGTCCTCTCACATGGTATGGTGGCTGCCTGGGAACTGCGGGCTCAGCAGTCTGAGTCCCCTGCTCTTGTCCTGATGGCATCATACTAGGCTCTGCTGCGAGCACAGCATGTTGATGGCCCAGGGCTTGTGAAGCCCACAGCTCCCACCCGCCTGCTCCTCACAGCAGGGAGGCCTGGGGAGCACAGCCCATGGCAAGGGAGAGTGCTGTCAGCTTTAGGACACCCTGAAAGGTCCAACCCTCAGGGTGGCCCTGATGCCTGGAGGACACATGTGTCCAGGTGTCCGGGGCTCTTCCAGGTGACAGCACAGCTGGTATAGAGAGCCATTTGCAAGTCTGGTGTCTGGTTTAAAGTGAAAATGTCATTTCTTTTTTTTTTTTTTTTTTTGAGACAGGGTCTTGCTTTGCGGTTCAGGCTGGCCTTGAGCTCACTTTGTAGCCCGGGCTGGTCTCGAACTCACAACGATCCTCCTGCCTCAGCTTCCCAAGTGCTGGGATTACAGGCTTGCGCCACCACGCCTGACATTCTTTTATTTATTTTTTTATTTCCTATTTCCACAGTTCTTGGGGGTTTAGAGGAGTGTTTTTTAAACCAGTGTGACTAAAACATCCCCTGAGGTGCCTGTCAGAAAGCAAACTCCTGGGTCCCACCAGCGCCGCCCGGTCTGCCTGGCTGAGATGAGACCCAGGAGTTTCATGTCATTTCATTTTTTGCCACACTGAGGATTTCAGATGGGGCCTTGAGCATCATGGGCAAGTGCTCTGCCACCCGAAACTGCCCAGCCCCAGGGTGATTGTGAAGCAGGTGCAGTGAGAAGCCCTGGTGGGAGGGTGGTGGCACCCGGGCGGATGGGGGCACGGCCGCACTGACCCTCCTGTGACTCTGCAGAGGGTGGCCTGGAGGAGCTGGTGGAGGAGCTCAACAGCGGGAAAGTGATGTACGCCTTCTGCAGGGTGAAGGACCCCAACTCTGGCCTGCCCAAGTTTGTCCTCATCAACTGGGTATGTGGGCCTGTCCCATCTTGCATGACCAGGGAAAGTCCCTTGTCCTTTCCTGCGTTGGCAGGAACAGTGTTTTCCGGGCACGACTTAGTAGATAACAGAACACCTCTGAGCTGGGAAATGAGCTAGAGTCAGAGAATTCATTGTGACCTGAAGAATAACTGATGTTAAAGCTGGGCATGGTTGTGTATGCCTGTAATCCCAGCACTTGGGATGCTGAGGCAGGAGAATCACCTGGGCTGAGCTATATATATATATATATATAAAATCTCATGAGTTCAAGGTCAACCTGAACCTACATAGCAAGACCTTGTCTTAAAAAAAAAAATTGCCATTATTACACAGAATTTCAAGCCCAGAATTATTCCTGCAAGAAAGAGTGAAAAAGGTCATGGGAAATTTCTGCCCCATGCCTTTGGGTTAGGGTACAGAGGGCCTGGCGGGCTGCAGGGTCAGCCTGAGAAAACACCCCCCAGTGGACACCACCAGCCTCGCTGTCCCAGAGCGTCCCTGCTCGGCTTGGAGGTGGGAGGGGCCTCGTCTGTGATTCAGCTGTGAGAGTGGCTTCTGCTTCGGGAGGGTTTCTCTTGGGGGAGATGCGAAGCTGCTGGGTCTGTGGAAACTTGCGGGAGGGGAAGTGGCTTGGAAGGAGGCCTGGGTCATGCCGGGTGTGCTTGTGTCGCAGACGGGCGAGGGCGTGAATGATGTGCGGAAGGGAGCATGCGCCAACCACGTCAGCACCATGGCCAACTTCCTCAAGGTGAGAGCTGAGGCCTTCTGCCACCCACGAGGGGCTGAGGGATCCGATACCCCAGGTTCCGTGGCACAAGTACGCACTGGGATCAGAAGCAAGCCCGTAACACAAGCTCACCCTGGCCCTTGGGTCAGCAGGGGCACAGGAGGCGGGGAAGTGTCCTGCAGAGCAGGGTGAAGGGCCTTGCTGGAGCTGACCCAGTGGGCAAGGCCGGCCCTGGTTCTGTCGTGTCTGGGATCCATCTCAACAGCCCAGTGGTTGTCAGGACTTGGAGAAAGGCCAAGGTGGCTGTGCCACCACCCTAATGTGCATCCTTCGGCAGGTTCCTGTCTGGTGCGTCTCTGCACGTGTTCATGGCAGATGTCCCACAGCAGCACTGAGGTTCCATTTCGAAAGTATTTTTGTCGAAAGTTGTTTGTAGCTCACCGATCCGGTGATTTTGCGTCCCCCTTAGTCACTGCCGGGGAGACCCTGCTGCTGGGTTCTGCCGCAGTCTTCAGAGAGCCTTGGGTTTTCCATCTCGTAGCTGGCGATGAGGCGTCCAGGCTTCTTGTCAGCGTTTTTCTCGTTTTGGGTTCGTTTGCTGCTTTTCCAGTGCTGAGCAGAATCCAAGGCTCCCCTTATGCTAGGCATGTGCTCTGCCGCTGAGCCACACCCCAGCGAGGCTTCCAGACTTCCGTAGGAGCAGTGAATGAGGGCCTCGGCTGCTTCTCAGGAGGAAATGAGTGACTTGCTTTTCGTAGGAAATGCTTGTTTCCAGGTGGTCCCTTAAATAATGTGCATCGATGGAAGGGAGACCTTTCACGTGGCTGCTGGGGTAGCTGCTGAGCCACAGCAAGGAGCATGCACCACGGGGCAGGGCCTGGTTCCCAACAGCCAGATAGGCGCCCCAGGGCTCTGGCTCCAGCCTGAGTGTAGGGTGCTGCGCGGTGTGGATGGTGGGGGGGAGTCGGGCCTGTCTTCCCCAGCTCGCAAAGCTCTCTGAGCTCCGCTTCCTCTGCAGGGGGCCCACGTGACCATCAATGCACGGGCGGAGGAGGACGTAGAGCCCGAGTGCATCATGGAGAAGGTGGCCAAGGCCTCCGGGGCCAACTACAGCTTCCACAGGGAGAGCAGCCGCTTCCAGGACACAGGCCCGCAGGCCCCGGTGGTAAGTGCTGCCCCCATTGCCAGCCCTCCCGCCTGGCTTCCACAGATGGGGACCCAAGCCTGGTGGGCACCAACCCCACCTGGTGATTGTCCCGGGTGTTCTGGAGCCCTGTCTGAACCCAGCTGTGTTTGGGCAGGGTAGTTGTGACTCTGAGACAAACAGCCAGGACCTAGGTGGGCATTGGCATTTGCCACATGGCGTAACTCCAGGGAGTGTCAGGGCTGACCCCAGACCCAAAGCCCCTGTGAGTGCCGGGAGACACCTGCCAGCCTGTAGGCCTCGCACTGGCTGGGGCCGACAGCCGGCAACCACAGCATGGACGTGTAGGTCTGTGGTGATTCCTGTGGGTGCGGAGCAGTCTGGCAGAGGCCTGGCTCGGCACCCCCGGGCCCCAGGAACCTGCGCTTGGGCCCTTCCTGCCACCAGAGTGGTCTCCAGTGTGGTCGGGACTCAGCTCCCTGCTGGGTAATTTCCTAGCGTCTTCCTGGACTTTGTGGTGCCATCTCCTTGAGGGTGGTGGTCAGGCTGCACTGTGTCCTCCAGGTCAGGGCCTGGCCTCCCCCTGGCCCTAGCATGTGCTGTACGCCCACAGGGCTCTGTGTACCAGAAGACCAATGCTATGTCTGAGATCAAGCGGGTTGGCAAGGACAGCTTCTGGGCCAAAGCCGAGGTGAGTGCTGGGGCGGGGGTGCCGACAGCACTCTGCTCTCTGGGCTGCACTAGGCTGTGGTGTCTCCCACAGTCTTGTACCTTGAGGCTGGGGTGGCATGGGCTGAGTGGGCCGCCGTCCCTGCAGAAGGAGGAGGAGAACCGGCGGCTGGAGGAGAAGCGCCGGGCTGAGGAGGAGCAGCGGCGGCTGGAGCAGGAGCGCAGGGAGCGGGAGCTGCAGGAGGCTGCCCGCCGGGAGCAGCGCTACCAGGAGCAGCACAGTGGGGCAGGGCCCCAGAGGTGAGCTGCCGGTGCCTGCGGTGGGAGGCTGGCATGGGGCTGCCTCAGGTGTCCCTGTGCTTGCTTAGTCCCTCAGCCGTTCCCACCCTGGCCCTTCCGACAGGACGTGTGAGCAGCCGCAGGAAGTGGCCTCAAGGAACAGAGAGGAACGGGTGAGTCTGGGTGCTGCCCTTGTGCCTGGATCTCACAGGTGTGGACACATCCCCATCAAGTCTGAGCTCAGCATTCACCCAGACCCGTGCAGCAAACGCGGGGTGCATGTGGGTGCATCAGAGGTGCTGGGGGCGGGAGAGCGGGGCGCCTTGTCCAGCGAGGCCTGGCCTGCCCTTGGCTCCCCAGCCACCCCAGCCTGCAGGGTCTGCCCTCCAGGGTGGCAGTGGGAAGGTGAGAAACTCTGCACCATCGCTGTTCCCCAGGAGGCTGCCGGGCTGCAAGCTGCACACTCGCGGGAGATTTTCAAGCAGAAGGAGCGGGCCATGTCTACTACCTCTATGTCCAGCGCACAGCCAGGTGGGACCTGCTGTGGGCCTAGCCACTGGGGGCGGGGGCGCGCGTGGCAAGCCTGGAGTCCCCTAGCAGGCCCTCAAGGCTGGTGACATGTCAGGATGACAAGGGACGAGTGAGCAAGGAGTACAGCTGGGCCCTTGACCTGAGCGGTGATGGTGTACCTCACCACCCTGGTCCCTGCGGCCAGGCGGGTGTAGATGGCGGATGGGTTTCTGAAGTGGGTGCGGTTTTGCAGGCAAGCTGAAGAGCCCCTTCCTGCAGAAGCAGCTCACCCAGCCAGAGATGTCGCTTGGCAGAGAGCCAGCTCCCGCCGCCGCAAGGCCCAGGGCAGGCAAGGCACTTGTCACCGCGGGGCCCTGGGAGCGACAGCAATGGAGAGGGAGGTGGTGGGAAGGTGGGGCAGACGTGCTGTGTCCTCCACACAGATGTTTGTGAGGAGCCGGTGCCTGGCAGCCCTCCACATCGGGTGCAGGCGGAAGAGGAAGCTGTGTATGAGGAGCCCCCAGCGCAGGAGACCCTCTACGAGGAGCCGCCGCTGGTGGGTTCCCGCAGAGGGGCCAGTGAGGGGCCGCAGGCCTGGGTTCTCCGTGGCGCACTGCGGGGTTGGGGGACTTGGGGTTTCTCACTTGACATTGCAACAGCCCAGTGCTGAGTCGTGTGGATTTGCACACCCTTTTGGCTTGGAGGGGCGGCGTGCTGTGGGCGTGTCAGAGCAGCGGCACCCCCAGTAGGGAGCCCTCCATCCCCCAGCCCAAGCCAGTGTGAGGCCGAAGCCTGGGGTGACGTCCCCTCTCGCTCCCGCCAGGTGGAACAGCAGGGTGCTGGCTCTCAGCACATCGACCACTACCTGCAGGGCCAGGGGCTCAGCGGGCAAGGGCTGTGTGCCCGGGCGCTGTACGACTACCAGGCAGGTGAGCACCACCCACAGGTCCCAAGGGTGGGGAGCAGGAGCTGGGGCTCTCAGGATCAGCGCTGGGGGCTGGGGCAGGAGACACGAGGTGGGGCTGAGTTTGGGGTGGAAGCCCATCTGCAGCTGTGATGACCCTGGCTCAGGGGCCCCCCATGGCCCAGGCAGACACTCACTGTCCCACCTGTCCTGTCCTTGTGGGAGAGCCATCCCTGGATGCTGGCAGGCAGTTCTCTCGGGCGTGCTTTGGCGACAGGAGGGGACCCATAGGAGGCTGTGGACAGGGTTGGCAGGGGGATGTTTCCAGAGGACAGACCCTGGTGCAGCCCCTGGGCTTTGCCCTCCCTGCAGCCGACGACACAGAGATCTCCTTTGACCCTGAGAACCTCATTACGGGCATCGAGGTGATCGATGAAGGCTGGTGGCGTGGCTTCGGGCCCGACGGCCACTTCGGCATGTTTCCTGCCAACTACGTGGAGCTCATTGAGTGAGGGGAGGCCAGTCCCCATCCCTGCCCGGCTGAGGCTTCTTGGTTGCAGGGAGAAGCCCCAGAGCTAACGCTGGGCATCTGCAGGATGGGGGCCGAGGAGGGCGAGGCCTCAGGACACCTCTGCCTGGGCGGCTTAGGCCCAGTCACCCAGAGGCAGCAATACCTAATGATCCCTGTACGTGCTTCCTACAGCCTCCCAGGCCTCCCACCAGCCCGGCCCTGGTCCCAGAGGAGGCTGAGCCAAGCACATCGGTGGCCATTCCCGGGTGACCCTGCCCCGGGCACAGCGGCCACCACTAAGCTGGGGGGCTCTGTGCAGGGGCATCTGGAGGCCGCCGCCTTACTTGCCTTTTTTCCTTTCTCTCTGGCCTCTAAGGGGTGGTGGCTACCGCTGTTGGACTGACCCTTGGGAACTTAGACAGTTGCCTTTAGCAGGGTGTGTGACCAAAGTCTGTGGACCGTGACTGCCGCGAGCGGGGAGGTATTGCTGTCTGCCCTGCCGCACTCCGTTTCTCCGCCCCTGTGTCCGGGCCCGGGGGGAGTGGTAGTGGAAAGAGCATGCTCCCGTCTCGGGTGTGTGAAAAAAGTGACAGCGTGTCCTGTGTGGCTCACTCCGTGCCTGCCGGCCCCTGTGCGCCTCAGCCGGTGTTGGGTTCAGGGACGGGAACCCGGTGGCCCATGCCTGCTGCCTCCTGTTTTCTGACCCAGCCCATCCAAGCATCTGAAGAACAGATCTAAGAACTGCAGTGTGATCCCCAGTCCCTGGCTCAGGCCCACCCCGCTGTAGCCTGAATAGCCCTGTGTGGGAACAGACCTGCCGGGCGGCCGCATCCGCCTTGAGCCAGGGTGTGTGCAGAGGGGGTGCACACGTGGGGTGTGTGTGCATGTGAGTGTGTGCACACTGGTACCCGCCTGCCTCTGGCCAGTGAGCCGTGGGAAAAGGCGTAGATCTTAGGATGTGACTGAGGTCAGTTTCCTGCGCCATGTGGCCCAGCAGGTGGTGGAGGGCAGTTGGACCCTCTGCCTTGGGAGTTAGGTGCAGGTGGCGGCCAGGCCCAGCCCCTCCCCATCCTGCTATCCGCTGGACTTCTCCCGGAAGACTGGCAGCCGTGTGAGTCAGGGCTGTTAAAGGCCTTCAAACTCCACGGCCTCATTGGTCCCCACAGGCTGTGGGTTAGGGCTGATCATTCGGTTGGGTGTTGTCCCGGCTCATCCTGACAGCCAGGATGGCCCCTGGGCTGCTGCCCTCGTGATGTGGGTGTAGGGGTGCTGGACTCCCCAGCTCATACCATAAGCGAGGCAGTGTGCAGAGATGCTTTATTGCTCGCGCCACCCTCATTTGGCCTTGCCCTGGGCAGCCACAGCCTCCATGGCCTTCCGCACCGTCTCCTCATCTCCCAGGAACCGCATGGGCTTGGTGGGCTTCAGCGCCTGGTCCAGCTCGTACACGATGGGGATCCCCGTGGGCAGGTTCAGCTCCATGATGGCCTGGTCTGACATCCCTGCACCCAGGGAGCACTATTCTTAGCCACCCGGCCTTCGGCCGACCCTGAGTCCTTCGTGGGCCCCAGGGCTGTGCCCCCTGTGCTGCTAGCCTAGTCCCAAGAGCAAGGCAGGGGATGCTCCTAAAGGTCAGGTGGAGGCCGAGTGGCCTGCAGAAATAGCCCGGGGCAAGGCCAGCCCTCACCCTCGGACGCAGCCGTGACCTGTGCTGGTGCCGTCTGGGTCTCAGCTCCTTGTGAAGTAGCCGGACGAAGAGGGCTATTAGCTATTTGGTTTCTGAATTCTGAGCAGGGGAGCTGTGGAAACCTGACCCGCCTGCCTCGGCACCCCCTCCCGGAATAGCTCAACCTTTGCTGTTGGCGCCATCCTGCCCGCGGCAAGCAGAAGGCCTTGGGAATGTTCCCCAGAGGGTCAGGGACACCCCACTTCCTCTGGCGTCATACTTGCCATTGTGCCTCTTGCCCCAGAAGAGGTGGGGTGTTGCTCACACCCCGGGCTCCCCAGCCAGGTCCCCAGTGTCTCCCTGTCCATCCCCCAAGACAGGTCTGGGGCACCCAACTCCCTGTAGTACAGCAAATGTGAAGGTCGCGCAGGGGCGAACCCAGACAACGCTGTGTGGGAGCCCAGCACAGGACACTCTCCCTCGGGGGCCCCCGTGGCCCAAGGCCTGTTTACCAGCGCACCTTGCACTTTAGTGGGGGCGCCCGCTTTCAATCTACAGTCCTCAGCTGCTGCAGAGTTCTGCGCCCCTCTGGTTGTCTTACCTCTGCCTGGGAGAGGTGCGGGGTGCAGGGCCCTGCTCAGGTTGAACCCCATGTTGAGAGGCAGGAAGTACAGGGAGGAGCCCCACAAGCTCTGCAGTGCCTGTGCAGGGTCCCACAGTGTGCCAGGACTTGGAGCCTGGCCCTTCAGGCCGAGTGTCCCTGGGCGGGGGCCCGCCTTATGCCCACTCCCCTCGGCTTGGCTCCACAGCCGGCCCGTCTCCAGCAGTGCAGCACATGAAACCAGCAAGTCACGGGTCTGCTGCTTAGACGCTCTCGCCCTGCTCAGTGCTGGGCCTTGCTCAGCTCCCGCCCCCCATCTGCCAAGCTGCCTCACCCTGTGGCGAGGAGGTTGAGTAGCAGCCCCCGCTGCCCAGCACATCCCCAAGGGTGGGCTCACCTTCCAGGTGCTTGACGATGCCCCGCAGGCTGTTGCCGTGAGCTGCGATGAGCACCCTCTTCCCAGCCTTGATCTGGGGGGTGATCTGCTCATTCCAGAAGGGCAGGGCCCGGGCGATGGTGTCCTTGAGGCTCTCACAGGTGGGCAGCTCCCCTTCCTTCAGCCCAGCATAACGGCGGTCCTGGGGGTGCGGGGACACTGCCACTTCCTGGCTGCACACCGGACCCCCAACGTCCCCTGGGCTCCCAACGTCCCCTGGGCTCCCAACGTCCCCTGGGCTCCCAGGCCCCCGGTGTCCCCTGGGCTCCCAACCCCGTAGCCCCCCAGGGTCCTCCCGGGGGCCCACCTTGCTGATGGTGCTGTAGTAGGGGTGCTTGTCGTCCATGGGGGGTGGCGGGATGTCGAAGGAGCGCCTCCAGATCTTCACCTGCTCCTCGCCGTGCTTGGCAGCTGTCTCCGCCTTGTTGAGGCCCGTGAGGCCACCGTAGTGCCGCTCGTTGAGGCGCCAGGTGCGCACCACAGGCAGCCACATCTGGTCCGTGCCGTCCAGGATGGTCCAGAGGGTGCGGATGGCCCGCTTCAGCACCGATGTGTAGCAGATGTCGAACTCCATCTTGGCCTCCTTGATGGCGAGGGCCCCCCGCCTGGCCTCCTCAGCCCCCTTCTCACTTAGCTCGGCATCGAACCACCCGCAGAAACGGTTCTCCTGGTTCCACGAGCTCTCGCCGTGGCGGACCATCACCACACGATGGGTGGCCATCCTGGCAGGGGGACTGGGGCTCCAGGCAGGGACAACCACCTCCCTCACACTCCGGCTTTATATATGCCCGGCCCTAGCCCCAGCCCCCACCCCCACCAACTGCCAATCAGCATTCCGGGAGGGCCAGGCGGGGGCAGGTGGCCGGTAGGAGTGGAGCTGTTGGGGGTTGGGGGGGGGTTGTTTGCTGGCCAAGGAGTAGGACATAAAAATAGCCACACAACCACCAGCCCAGCCTGGGCTCAGGTGACATGGCCATAACCAGCTGGCAGCCAGGGGGCTGCGCAGGGCCAGGATGAAGGGCAGAAGTCAGGCCTGGGGGAGGAAGGGCTGGCAGCATGGGGACTCCCTGGGAAAGAATCCTCCTCGAGGTCAGAGGCTCTCTGTGGCCCCGTTGGCCCTGTACTGCCAGGGCAGAGGTACAAAAAGAATCCCAACTCCTCTTCCAGTCACTCTCTGGTATTAACAACCCAGAGCCTTGTGCATGCTAGGTAGGCTCTGCCACTGAGCTACATCCTTAGTCCTTTTTCAGACTTTTATTCTGAGAGAATCTTGGTAAGTTGCCCAAGCTGGGCTCAAACTTGCAGCTCTCCAGCCTCCTAGAGTGCTAGGATTACAGCTGTGCTCTTCCTAGTCTTTTTTTTTTTTTTTTTTTTGAGACATGGTCTCACTATGTGGTTCAGGCTGGCCTTGAACATACAGTGTAGCTGAGGCTGGCCTTGAACTTGTGGAGATCCTCTTGCCTCAGCCCTCCCAGCTGCTGGGATGACAGGTGTGCACCACCGTGCCTGGGCTTCCTGATTAGCTCAGTGTTGAGGGGAGCCGGGAGTGTGTGCGTGTGCCCTCCATGCATGTGTCTGTGAATATGTAAATGTGTATGTCTGCAGCACACATCTGTGTACACGTCTTGCCTCGTGCATGTAGGCATGCATGTGTGACAAGTGTATGTGCATAAACGTTTGTTGCCAAGGGTCCCCATGCATGGCTTTGCCCTGACCAATGTGCTGGGACATAAGGCGGGGCTTCTTCAGGCATCCCGGCCCTCCCTGGCAGCCCCCTCTTCCGCTGCAGCTCTGCACGCACGCACGGCAGTGCCTGGGGAGCCTGTGACCGGTTAGGTGGAGGCCCAGGCCTTCTGCGTTCAGGGCTGGGATCACTGGTCACAGGCAGGGAGCAGCAGCCACACCCTCTCCTACCTTGGGCCACAGGAGAGGGAGGAGCCTCGGCCTGGCTGTGAGGTGCCGCTGCCCACAGCTGGCTCCCAACCCGAGGCGGAGTTGGGAGAAGAGCCTGCGACTGGGGTGCCCACCCCCGCAGCACGGCTATCTGCCTGTCCTGACTGAAGCCGTGTCTCCCGGGGACGCTGTCCACTTTCTGTCCCTGGAGCACACTGGGAATTGGCTCATTGGCCCAACAGTGACAGGGGCCCAGCGGGAGGACAATGCCAGGAGGCTGCAGAGAGCTGCTTTCCCCGAGGGGCACAAGGAAGGGACAACCCTGGGGAGCACATTTAGGTGGAAATGGCAGGACACAAAGCCCCTGGTGAGGACAAGCCCCCCTGGGGGCCTCTCCAGGTTGCAGAGCCAGCAAGGACCAGTGCTGTGGAAGGGGCACGTGGCAGAGGTGGCTCCCTGTCCCAAAGAGGTGGCACCACCCAACTTGCAGCGTGACATATTTTAACCTTGTGCAGCTGCAAGGCAGCAGGCCCCGGGCTCCCTTGGGTGGGCCTTAGTGCTGGGTCAGGTGGGAACAAGGCGTAGGCCTGGCAGGGTATAGGAGGGGAGGGGCACTGCGAGGCCTGGGACCTGCTGGCCTTGCTGTGATTGTGGGGCGTCGGGAAGGCACAGGGAGGGAGGACCTGGCCTCTGAGCTTGGCCACAGCCTGACAAGCATTTGCTCATGGGGAGCAGAGCAAAGAGCAAGGGAAGCGATATCCCAGCTCCCCCCAAGCACGACCATCAAGCCTGGACCCGCAGGTGAGAAAGGCTGACTGGACGCAGCTCCACACTCGGTGGGTGATTCCTGTCCCCGGCGGTGCCCAGCTTGGATGTGGAGGCAGCCCGAGGCTTGAGCTATACAGGCTCTAGGCAGGATACAGAAGACCTAAAAAGCCCAAAGAGCAGCTGGAGAAAAATGGTGCACTTTCTGTCAGGGAACAACTCTGAACAA